GTTTTTAATTTATATATATTTTTTATTTTCTATTTCCTGTTTTTAATTTTATATTTTAAAAAACCAAAAGTCACATAAATTTGATAATTATCTTTTGTTTTTTTATTTCTAAAAAAAATAAAAAAATTATCCAATATTTTTTATAACTATATATTTTTTTTTTATTTTCACTAGTTTAAAAAGTTACAAAGTTGAAAAGATATGCTAGGGAGAGAAAAAGCTAACTAGAGTAGAAATAAGAACTATGTAGGGCGAGAGTTGAGGATGTCGTCTCAATCTTTGTCATCACGAAAATTTTTAGTCCACATCTCCAATACACTCTCTCATTATGAGAATTGAGGTCGAGGTCGAGAAATCCTTATTTGGGGATGAGGATCTTTAAAGAAAAAATTATCGATTTAATAATTAATTTTAATTATGTTTAGAATTGAAAAATAAAAAAGTAATGAATATATATATATGTATATACATATATACCTAACATATTTTGCTGAAAAATTATTATTTACTAATTATTATTTACTAGCATAAATAACTAGTTTTAAAAAAATATTTACTATTTTATATCTATTTTTTTCAAAACCTATGTTTTATAATATTTGCTGACATCACCGTGACTACCAAATTACTTTCATTACCATTCCTATCATTTTTTAGATTTCTCTCTTGTTCCTTCCCTACCTCTTTCCATATCTTTAAAAAAGCCATCTCCTAATTTTTCTTTTATTCTCTCTCATTCTCTTTCTCAAAAACATCAACAAAATTGGGTTTTCTTTATAAACATCTCTGGCAAAAGACTCATTTTGAAACCCTAAAAAAATAATCAGAATTGAACAAAAACCCAATTAATTTTATAAAAGAAGTAAAAAAAGGTATGCTTTTTCCATCTATCTTCCTTAATCTATTGAACACCTCCCTCTCTCTACAAAATTAATAAAAAAAAAAAGACCACCACCTACTAGATACTCTCCCTCTCTACTAAAAATAGGGTTATTTTCTTG